ATGTTTCTGCGATATGATGAAAAATATGATCACGGCATAGATAGGATAAAATTTTCTATTGCCGCAGAGTGGAAATTCCCTTCGTCGAAGGGAACGGAATTTCGGTGGTTATATATATTCCTGAAAAAAGTGTCCAAATTCAAAAAGTAGGACAGCATCCCGAAAAGTCGACAAACCCGAAAACTGAATACCGGGACAATCTCCCAAAATGTTGGCAGCAAATGACAACTTCATTTTCTCCCGATATTTCGGGAGATTTTGTCTAGGTATTCATTTTTGGGAATTGTGACTTTTAAGAATATCGCCCCACTTCCTAAATTTTGGGGTTTCATTCATAATAAAAAAAACATTTTGTATTTGTATTAAAATCGGTCCTTGTTGAAATTTCCATATGAAACTTTTAATACATACGTATATTAATTTAATATATTGTTTACGTTATCTCAATATTTTGTGTTGAGTTGTACGAGAAGCCGTCCGAATATTTAACATGTGTAAGTTAAAGTAACACTTGTAAAATTACACATTTTACACTTCAGTCGATTAACATATCATGAATATTAGTATTGTATTAATTTTTGACACAATATTTGTGTTACTTTTCAACATATTCACCTTGTGTTAAATTAACACAAAAATTGGAATATGTATAAAACGTGTTAAATTTAAAAGAGAAAAATTGTTTTCCGTGTGTCCACCGGAATTTCTGGCTCTCAGGAACCGCTTAACTTGCTTTTAATATGCTGATGTAAATACAAAGTTTTCATACACTTCGCTAGTCACGTTAATTCGAGTAATCTCTTTTCTCCGTGTGTATTACCATCAAGCAAAATTGTAGCAACAGACACATCGTCCGCATTCGCAAACGGATTAGCCGACGAGTTTTCTTACGTCAATCTTACGTGTCACGTTTTTAAATTGAAAATTAAAATTACAGTGCGGAATGATATTTTAATCCGCATTTACAGCGAAGAATGCACGTACGCGATACGCTTTATCAGATAATTGCGGATTACAGGACACGGTGTAATGCGACCAATTATCTAGTTTCCTGGCCGCGGAGAAGTTAGCCAGCCGGGAATAATTATCTCGCGTTAAGCTCTGTGAAAAAAAAAATCCGATAACTGTGCGACACACGTATCTGCCGCAGCGAACATTTTTCCGCCGGCCGAAAAATTGAAAATGAGCACCGGCGCGAGAGTCTGCTTGCGGAATTTATCGATACGGTCCGCTGCAGTCTTAGGTGTTATCAATACTGAACGATCGAAAAATAATTGCATTGCTCGTTAAATATTTTCGCTGTGATTTAGATATGTGCATTAAATTTGATGTCTCTTCCTCTCTCTCTCTCTCTCCCCCCCTCCTCCCTCTCCCTCTCTCTCTCCTCTCTCTACTTGTCTTTCCCTCATTAGTTTGAGTTAAAAATTAAGTTAGTACGCCGGACATTCCAGACACCTAGTTCTAATGAGCCACCTTTCATCTTGCGGTTTCTTTGACGAATTTAAAGTCGATTTTCTCTCAACGAAATTCTCGAGGCAAGTCATGTATATTTGTCGCGAATTTTCTTCTTCCAACATTTAGATACGTATTTCCGTAATTAATTCTCGACTCGGAAATTTGTTACAATCCGTTTAAAATTTAACGAAGAACAAGGTTGCGTGATTTATTTGCACTTTGAAGTTTCGTTCCACGGAAATTCGTTGTTCTCGATCGCGCTCGCAAGTTGAAAACAAGATGTATCTCGCCCGGCGTTCCCTTCGAGAAAGCGATTTCTTTCGAATTTATCGAAGGATTCACGCTTATGAAAGGTCCTGTGCATTTCGCAATCGGAACGAGAATAGATGCCACAGGGTGATTACGAAGTGAAAAGAACGATATCACGAATGAAAAGAAGTGAGCGCTTCTCCCGGCTGGATCGAGCGTGACGCACATCGTACATTTTTCCTCACGCGGCCGCGGTGTTTGTCGAACGAGATAAACGTTGCATGGAGAAAACTACTCGGTGAGTGATTGTCTCGCGCGACTTTCTTATATCATTGCGATTGTCGTGATAAAGCAGATAAGAATTAATGCGCATTTGTGAATTCGAAATCGGACCTAATCATCGTCATCATTGCACGAACAAAAACACATCCTCGTTCCACTTTGCTCCGCGATTGCGAAAACGGTGAAGCAATACAAATAAACTCCGTGAAATCTAATTTTGACTTTAGAATCACGATCGAAGCTGCAACATCATTGTCGTGGTGCTGTTTGTATTGAACGAAAGTCGCGAAATCTCTCGAATCCAACGTCTTAGGCAACGATGTTGTTATTTATGTCGGTAGATCGTTTCGCCGCTATTAATACGCTCGTAATACGTGAAATTATCGAAAATTAATTGGCAATATTGCAATTGTTGACAATTAAGGGGATCGAACAAAACATATTAAAATTTGACAATTTTATATCTAGATAAGCCCTTGACGTCGACTAATTACAGAATTAATTTAATGCCAGTGATACACACATAAATATATGTGTGTGTATTTATGTATGTGTATATATGTGTATGTTGTACGTGTGCGTGTATATGAGCGCGTTCAGTGCGCACTTCAGCTTTATTGGTAATAACGTATTATTCATATGTGTTAGTTTAATGATATTGACTTCTCGAATCAATATTTTCACAAAATTATATATTAACAGGCATCATCGCCATGTGCACGCGACTAAATCAAATTATCGTGTATTAACGTCAAATAGATGATTAATTAGTTTATTCTCTTATTAATGATGTTCTGATAAATTCCGGCTTGTATATATATTTTCTCAAAGCTCGTGCGATAATGTCGCGCTATATACTTCCGTTAATATATATTATAACAGAGCAGGAAGTTCCAAATTTCTATTTGCGGCTTCTCCTTCTCGATTGACCCAGAATTAATTTCTTCTCTGGGAGAATTTCATTAGACGTTTAAAATCCAATTTCTCTCTCTCTCTCTCTCTCTCTCTCTCTCAACTTTCCTCAGCCAGACTTTAAATATCTTCGAAACTAATTCTGTTTATTTTCCATCGAAAATGCAAATAAGAAATAGTTTAATTATTTATTCTCACGCGCTTCTCCCGCGAGCTTAATCCATACCCTGCATTTTCAATGGTTTGTGAGTCGGTAGAGAAATAGTTTGCCTCTCGATATTTCCGTTAGAATAACGCCAATTCCAAACACGAATCAAGGACAAAGGTATACTCTTTTCCTCTGTTTGTTTTCGATATAAACTTGCTTTCGACGCTGATGTCGGTACGAAGTTTTCATATACTTTGCTTTGAAATAGCCACGTTGAACACATTATCCACTTTCATCTCACAGCAGAAGAGCGAGAAGGTGGCGCATGGAGCGTCTGTACGCTTATTATTTATTCATGTAACGTTTATATGCTCGCTCTAGATGGAACAAATTTGCCTTCTATCTTCCGTTACTTTGCGTCATCGTATCTTTGCACGATGTCTTTTCGACCTTCGGGGATATGTCCTCAAGAGAGAATAAAAATTCCTTCCTCTACTGCCACCGTATCTCGCATATCTTCGTTCTACGGCTCCCGCTTTTTGCACAAATACCGTGAGAACAATCTCGAAATCTTTGCTTGTTCTCGCAGAAAGAGAGAGAGAGAGAGAGAAAGAGCGTCGATTCTGATAGGTGTGCCACGAAGAATCGAAGCGACTCGCGCCGATGATCGTCGCCAATGGTCAACGTCGGTTTCAGGAGAAATTTCCATTCGCAGGATGCCAGGGGGATCGGAATATCGGCGTGCGCGACGCGCGGGATTCGGCGCGCATCGAATCGACCAATGGTCCGCGTGACCGCGGGCGACCACGTGACTCGCTTGATTCAGCGAGCATGCGCTTCGCACTCATGCACGTGTGCCCGTAATACCGCGATACTCTCTCAGTATCACTCGCGCGACCGATAAGCAATCGAACGATTCGTTCTCGCGTGTCGTATACACGTAGATTGCGAACACGAGATTCGTCGTAAGATACGAGAAAAGGAGAAAGAGAGGACTGGGAAGGCACCGAAAGCAGCGGAGAGAGAAAGAGCTTAAGGGGACGAACGGACAAATCGGTGAGTTCCTGAAAGCGCGGATCGACGATCTCGCATTCTTCCGAGATCGTGGGTGTTTCGTAATAGCCGCTACATATACGGAAGCCGATCCATACGCGCGCATTCGCGCGATGGCCACGTGCGCTCGGAATGCACGCACGTCGCGCTCGCGCGAGTACGCGCTAACGGTATACCGCGACGGCGGAAAGAAACGACGAAATTCCCGAGCGGGAACGGCGACCGGTGTTTACCCGCGGAAAGGACTTTCCTTCCCCTTTTGTCGAGTGCCCCGAGACGAGCTTTGTCAAGAGTGCATCGCGATCGCGACCTATTCTTTGACTCTTTATACTTAGTTGTAAATACCGAGAAGAGATAAATGTCAACCTTCGAATAACAAGATTCATATGTTCGGACCCGACCCGTGAAAGTATTTTGTAGTCTTCTCAACCAATTTTTCCGACTAGGCGCTTTTTATTCTCACAAGTTAGAAAGTATCTAAAAAAAGTAAATGAAATGTATCGTGAAATACGTAAAATACTTGAAATGAAACGCATGCGCGAAGCACTAGAGTGTGGATCCGGTCGGATCCGACTCAATCTTGTTATTCGAGGGTTAATCTTACGAGTTGGTTGATTTTTCGCGTTTGCAACACATATTATACGTCATAAAAAGAATTGAAGTCGGTTAATCCACATATAGCGAGTGCGCAATATATATCTAAACTGCCACTTGATGTTCTGAGTAAGCAACTCGTGTGCATCGTTTTATCATCTAATGCATTTCAAGAGATTAGATATCTAGTCGTTGGACATTACGGGGCCGTCTTGTCCAAGCGTGGAAGAATGCGTGAAAGTCTCGCGCAAGGTCGTCCGTACGTAAATGAGAAAGCGTTCGGCGATTATGTTGTTAAATAAATTATTCGCTCGATCAAACGTTCGGCAGCCTATCTCGCGGTATCTGCGGATGATTTCAAGCAGATTATCGCGCCTTGTGGATAGAAGCACGAGGTAGATTTCTTGCATTTTATTCGCGCGAATATAACTGCCGAAATAACGTGGTTAATATGAAATTCTATCGGAAGACGTAAGAAGATCAACACAGTGCGCGCCTGTCCGTGGCTTTGTTTTTCGCTTTGTTTCCTCGACCTTCGCGTTCAATTTTACAAACCGACTTCATACCGTTGCGAGTGCCGGGTCGAGTTTCACCGAAATATCAAAACAAGTTACACCAGTATCATTTGCCATAATCTCCTGTACTTTAATATCGCATATCTCAGCAACTAAGCGTTAAACGATCATTCCGATAAAAAACTTGTGTAAGCTTTGGTTTTTTGCTCGCTTCGTGCACGGAGAGGATCAATTTTCCTCGAACAGCAAGGTATTAATTTAGCGACAGCTACGATGATTCGTTGGAACGGCGAAAAAGTTTGTTTGGACAGCGGACAGATTTGTTGAGAATATTAATTGCTATTTGCTGGATATATGGGTGGCAAAATGATTTGCTTAGGCCAACTAAATTTTATTGCTGTCGCAACGACGTTTTACTTACAACGACAAAATACAACGACAATTATAGTTCTCCATGCAACGAATCATTTTGCTGTCGCTATATGAACGAATAATTTGCCATTCCAACAAGACTTGTTTTCTCCGTGTAGTGTTTTGCATTTCAAAAACTACTGCACCTTCTTGCCGTTTTCCTTGAGAGAGAATCGACCACTGATTAGTTGGCGTTGCGGAATGCAAATGCCTCGGTTAAAGTTGCATGTTATAGTGCAACACATGAGCTATCTAATCTTGAGCGCAGTTCCGCGTTGTATTCAATCTTGATGTGAATTTTCGTCACGTCTTGCCATTTCCGCAGGCTCCGCAGGACAATAATTCCCTGACAAATGGCGCGATTCCACTGTTTCAAACGAGAAAAAAAAATTCGCAGTTCGCGACGCGATCGATCTCTCGCGATTTCATCGGGAACTCGCGATATTCGGGGAAACGATTCGTTGTTATTCGAAAACTGAGAAATTACCGAAGCAAAAGTATCAATGCCTGGACGTGTAATTCTGGAAATTCTTGTTGTTTGGTCTTTAAATACGAATATTCCCACTTTCAACATAGAATACATGTACATACACATTGAATATACACAAATGTTGACGTTGAGAGATTAAACGTTCGTTTTTAGAGAGCGAAACAAACAAGAATGTTCACAGTTACGGTACGTGTCCAGGACTGGTGGCCCCGCCCTTAATCATCGGGGGAGTTAACTACCCGGGAATTCCGGGGTACGGGCGCAGCAAGGGCCGAATTTCGAGGAGAGGCATCTCGAAACAATCTCCGGAGCGAAGCGTTGTGTCTGCGTTATCAGTCGGCGAGCGCGCAAACAGGGAAGCGGTCTTCTTTCAGCGGCGAACGGGTGACGGAATCCGCATGCGCGCGCGCTATCTCTTGCCTTTTGTCGACACATGAGAGTACGTCCACGTGGCCGCGGGAGGATCGTCGATTGTCATTTGCGTCGCTGCTTCGTGAAAAGGCACGTCTCTCCTTTGGCATCTCCGCGACCGCCGTTCTCACTCTCGTACACGTATCTCGCGTGCGCTCGCTCCCAATTGCGCAATCCTCCTCGCGTATCTGCCGCGAATCGGTGTCGCAGTCTTAATCGTACCAACACCTCCGCGCATGTGAGTACATACGTGCGTCTTTTGCGCCGTGTTCGTGGTCGTGTCTAGCGTGTGTCGTGTTCCTCCGGATCGATATACGTCTCAGGTCGCGCTGCCGAGATCATCTTCGGCGTAGGTGAGTGACGGACTGTTACGCAAATCTGGCTGGTAAGACGTCTCTCTCCGTTCTTCTAAACATCTCCTCCGTGACGCATCGATCGTGTGTACGCAGCGTCTCAGAGCCACCGTCATCGTGTCTGTTTCTCCTTCGGTGCGCATATGGTCTTCGTCTCTCTCCCTCTCTCACTCTCTCTTCGTCAAGCATAAACTCGCCTTATCGTCATTGGACACGAGATCGAAAAATTCACAGATCAAAGCGTCGCGACGATAACTTAGACGTGCGCTTCATATCGTCCATCGAGTCAACGACGAAATTGTCGCGCGAAATCGTGACTGGTGTAACCCTTATAATTAGAAACGAAGTCACGGCGAAATCACCGACGTGACGGCGATGATGTCATCCCGAGAAACTTCCACCTGAAAGATCACGGGGAACTCACGTACACGTTAGAGAGAATTCGCTTTGTCCGGTGCGTGAAAAATTGGGATGTGGATTATTCTATGTAAATATCTATCTCGCATCTGTGCAAATAAACTCAAGCGGACTGAGAAAATTCTTCTGGAATTCACTTCGTGACGCGAGTTCCCCGTGATTTTCGGAAAATTCCTCTACCCATTTCCACACATCGATCTCGATTATCTATTCTCATCTCTCACTTAAGTATATTAAATAATACGGATGTATATATAAGGAAAAGATAGGGAGTAAAAGAAAGTTATGAAATTTTCAGAATTAATCTGCCGACAATTTCGAATGTTGAATATTTTATTCCGATCGAGAGGCGTGTGTTCGATTTCTCAACGGCGGAACCGAAACCACATTCGTCCGAATATTTCTCGCGACTTAATTCGTGCAATTCGGATTTCAAGCCGTATCAGATGATCTCTCAAGTCAGCGATTTATAATCGAAATCACGCGAAAAAGCGTGGAACGATACGTGTCGCCTCGATGGACGTTAGGCCGAACGATTAGAGCCGAGTAATATTTGTATCGTTATGACGCGTGTTTGGCGTGTGTGGCAAAAGATGTCGATCGAGCTCCGGATACTAGTTGCTGCTTCCTTGATGTTTACATATCCGCGTAATGTCATCGATTGCTTCTCAAAGGCGACGGTGACAAAGGCGCTGTTATCTATCCTTCATACGCTCTCTCAAGACTCTCAAAGACTCTCTCGGAAGATTTTGACGGCCTTACAGCGAATTTACAGCGAGCTTATCCGAAATATCCAAAATAATCCAAAAGGCATTGTCCGATCGCGGATTTCACCGTGAGTGACGAATAAAAAGTTTAATTACGGGGAATTAATTCTAACTGACCAGAAGAGACATAAAGCTAATAACGTGCGAAGAATACATATTGTAATACAACATATTAATGGCATAATATGTATTTGTATAAATCGCACGATAATCAATAACCGATGATAGTTAGGTTCTATTTTCAACGAAGACTCACTCGCGCAATCTTCCTTGAACAAAACATATTTCTGCCGTAGTATCTCTTGTAATCTTCATTCTTTTTATCAAACACCGAACAGCCGACACAAATCACTACGTTATCTCCTTGTATTTGCGCAGAAGAAGTTATTTTTGTTCTTAATTCGTGACTTCTCTCTTAGATCGGTTGAGCAACGAAGCTCTCAAATATAATCTTGCTCTGGGCCCGCGGAGGCGTAAAGGCGACGCTGGTAGAGGAGGCAATCAAGGCGAGATAAGAATACGCGAACGTTCGCGCTTTTCAGGAAAGTGGCTGCCTGAACGATGGTCTGCTCGACAGTGACGGATAGCGAGAAGGAGGGCCTGGCGAAAGGAGCGTGCTGCGCGGTGGGCATTGCACCAGGCGATTATCGCCTGGTCGGCTGGGACATGGACACCACCGGCAAGAAGGTCATCGACGAGATCTGTCAGATCGCCACGTACACCCCGAGCTCGGCTTATTCTCAGTACGTGATGCCGTACAAGGATCTCAATCCGACCGCGATAAAACGGCACAGCATGAAGGTTGTGACCAACGGCAAATTCCGCGTGTTAAGGCACAGCAAAACCAACGAGGTACGGACGAAGGTCTCTCTCTCTCTCTCTCTCTCTCTCTCTCGAATATCGATACTTGGCGGTACCGAAGAGGAAATTCATTTATGTCTCGAGAAAACGCGCACGTTGAATCGCGATAAAGGAATTTTTACTCGACATTCAGGTGTTCTCTCTCTGATTCCATCTCCTCTTCTATTCATTATCTTTATTTAAGTGGAAAATTTTATTTTAACTTTATTCAGGTGGAAAATTTTGTTATCTCTGTAATTAAACGGGAGATAAGCTAATCGACTATATGTGTAAGCTTTATCATTTCAGTAGATACAAGCTTGTCTCTTCTAATAGTTCTCGTTAACGTTAGATCACAACAGTCCGAAATTAATTTGATTTCAATGTAAGGATTTCAATGTACAAGGGCTCAGATACAAAGGAATGATGAACAAGGAATGAAATTTCGACATATGGACAACCATGCTTCAATCCACGATAAAAAAAAAATAAGAAACTAGGATCAGGAATACTGTCGAAACTCTATTCCTTATAACTTGTGTGCTTCCAATGCCTAGAAATTGACTGATAATTAATCTTCAAAATGTCCAATGATCATTTATGTACAAATGGAAGTTAGTTGGAGACAATCGATAATTATCAAGAAAATGATAAAAGTGTTAATGAGATGACATTAGATATATATATCATTATATTAATTACAGAAAATAGTAAAAGTGGTGATCTCGTTTTAAAACATTCTTACATTTTATTCTCTATTCCTTTTTATGATTTTTTAAACGATAGTTTATTTTTAATATCTTGTCCCTAATTCCTTATATTTAATTTCTTATTCTTTTCATTGTGTCTGAACCCTAAATTTCAAAACGATGGAAAAGAAATGTTAGGTGTGTCAGCCGTTCGAGAAAATTCGAATTGGCGCTGCTCGAGAACCGCATGTAATAAAAAATACCTCCTATTGTTAAGGTGATCAAATCCAAAAGCGAAGTGTCCGCATTGACAGACTTCCTCAGCTGGCTGGAGACCGAGAAGGGAGACGCGGACGGAATAATTCTGGTTTACCACGAACCGCGTAAAGTCATTCCCGCGATGTTGCTCGAATCGCTGAAGAAATACGATCTTGTTGACAGATTCAAGAAAACGGTCAAAGGATTCGCAAACGGGTTCAACATCGCCGAGCAGAAGTGCGCGAACTCAGTTCACGTTTATTCCCTCCGTACTCTGTCGCGAACGTTGCTGAAGAAGGTGAGGAACGAAATATCCTATCGATGACAGATATCGATGAGACTCTACGAATAAATAACAATCAACAGAAATGTCGTTCGAATATAATTTTGCTCGATTTTAAAATATATTTAATAGATAATATTGATATATTGATATATTTTAATATTGATTTTGATGTTGGTTTTAAAATATAGTAATACGTAATGATATAATAATACGTAATAATATAATAATACATAATATAGATATTGATTTAATATGTAACGCTGATTTAAGAAGAAAAAAAAACATTGCATTTTGCCTGGACGTTTATCATATTTTAAATTTGTTAAATATCCGCACGAATAACCACTTCTGGTACTTTCCAATATGAGTATTTTTTTAACCAATATTATAGCGGCGATAAATTTTGCGATTATAAATATTATCGATAATATTTGAAGGAAGGGAATCTGGGCAATGCGCAAGACAGGGCATCATTGGCTTTGCAAGTAGTGCAATACTTGTGCTGGTTGGAGAGTAAGAAGAAGCCCGAAGATACGAATGGTAGCGGAGATACCGACGAGACCATCAAAAAAACGGTTGAGTTTGTGCGAGAATTTGCGCAGTCCGTTGATGTCGAGGAGCAGGAACACGACGGTACGTGTACCGTAGAACGTGTGGTATATTATTGACTTGATGCACACGCGCATGGTTTATCGATTTATCGATCCACAAACAAATTTCACATCATATTGGCGGTATAACATCTATCGTTGAAATAATTCTAGTCCTCTCTATCATCGTTATTAACAATGAAAGTATATCACAATAGCCGATACATTATTTTAAATAACGTACGATTATTAATCAAAGTATTTCTTCGTATCTTTTCCGGCCAGAGAGAAACCGATTACTCAATTTTGCTTGAAGAAAAAAAAACCCCCTCCCATTAGAATTTCTAGAGATTGAATAATTTCAATGTAAACGTGGATTGTGATGACTTTCTCGGACGTCGAATCATAATGTACATTTTGACGACGATTGCGCGCTGTTTTTCCCAAGTGCCAATTCTCGCCGATTGATTCGACATTTCATCGAATTTCATCGAATTGGTCGCGGACCGAAAGCCAAGTTGAAAGTCGAGAGAGTCGCGCTGGGAGAGAGACGGTCGGAATGTACAAATTTTGTTGCAGAGTTGAAGATGATATTTGAACGGCAGAATAATTTGCGGCCAATATTCAGCGCGCTGTTCCGTATGAACCGTCGGGAACGCCAACATGCTAGTCCCCTGCGGCGATTGCTTGCCGAAGCTGGGATCGAGTACTCTGAGCTACAGGTGAGCAACCACGGCTGATTAATTGCATGCTAACAATCGACGTTTGCGCCGTGCAACATTGTTCGGGAACGCGTGTAAATGTGTTACTTCTCGGTCTTCCTGCTAAAACATCCAATTTACAACCCAAGTTACTCGTCGGACGTCGTGATAACGCCTTGTTTCGCTACGAAAGACTCTCGATTTACGATCGAGCAGATCAGACTGATTATCGACTTATGGCGATCTCTTAATTGCGCAATCGCGAAATTCGTGTTTCAGGAAGCGTGGACCAACGAGAAGAAGGACGGACTGGAGCATCTGCTGAAAGAGAAGCTACCGAGGGTCGAAGAGAAGAAGATAGACGATTTGTTGTTTATCCTCGAGCGTCACTTCGATCCCGAGAAGAAGCCGAAGGCCAAAGAGATCCCGGACAGAAAGAGGGCCGTCAGATCGAAAAGTCAAAAAGTGAACGACGACAAGGAGAACAATAACAAGTGTGACTCGGGCACTGAGAGCCCGGACACCACGACATCCGGTTCCCCGGCGAAACTAACCGGCGAGGAGGAGACGAAGACGCTTTAAGGAGAGAGAGAGAGAGAGAGAGAGAGAGAGAGAGAGAGAACAGAAATATTTAAATAAAGCGAATGAAGCTTTCTTTAATGCGGCGTAAAGCGAGTGTTCCGCGGCCATTGCGTCATTTTTTTTCTTTTTTTGTTCGTTAAGCCCTTTTTTTTTTTTTTTTTTAATCGAATGAGCGAAGGTGTAATTTTCGTTGCCATAACAATCGTTGATGAATGATAATGATGATAAGTGATATTGATGATTAACGCAAATGAACGTGGATTTAGCGTGGCGTCAGGGAAGATACTCGCTCTCTTATCGTATGGGAGAGAAAGAGAGAGAGAGAGAGAGAGAGAGAGAGAGAGAGCGCAGGAACTCTGTTTCTACGCGGTACCCGCTAAATCTACGTTGGTTGCAGTTGAGACAGTCGCGGAGAGACTCCCGTTTTGCGGTAGTTCTTTAAGATATAAAACGCTTAAAGATNTTTGTTAAGCCCTTTTTTTTTTTTTTTTTTTAATCGAATGAGCGAAGGTGTAATTTTCGTTGCCATAACAATCGTTGATGAATGATAATGATGATAAGTGATATTGATGATTAACGCAAATGAACGTGGATTTAGCGTGGCGTCAGGGAAGATACTCGCTCTCTTATCGTATGGGAGAGAAAGAGAGAGAGAGAGAGAGAGAGAGAGAGAGAGAGCGCAGGAACTCTGTTTCTACGCGGTACCCGCTAAATCTACGTTGGTTGCAGTTGAGACAGTCGCGGAGAGACTCCCGTTTTGCGGTAGTTCTTTAAGATATAAAACGCTTAAAGATACGAGCGCGATCGTCCCGACGAAGACGATACTTGTGCGTGATCAGAGGCGAGTGTTATTTGTTGCAGTATTGTACCTTTTCCTTTTTCCCCCCTTTTTTTTTTAATTTTATCTATTCACCTGTGCTTGACCGGCATCGCCGAGAAGTAGAGGAAAGAAAGAGAGAGAGAGAAAGAGAGAGAGAATTCCTGCGTGGTGACGCGTCGTTGTCGTCGTCGTCGTCACTGTCGCCGTCGGATTTTCGGCTCAAATGTACAAATAACACGTTAAGTGACACGTTGAATTCGTTACGCGCAGAGTATGTATTTAATATTCGTTTCATAATTTTATATTCTTCTCTCGTATATACATTAAACCCCCTTCTCTCTCCTTCTCCCTTACGTTTTCCTTTTTATTTATCCCGGAGCGCGACGCGCTCGTGGCTGAGCGACGCAGGCCGCCGTTTATAGACTGTTAAGCGTGAAAAAGATGGAAAATATCGCGGAATATATTTCGTTATCACGTAGTATCCACGTTGCGGGCTCGTGTGCGCACGATATTTTCTATTTTTTACCGTTTAAGCCGCACGCGCGCCCGAGTCGCGCGTCGCGGAAGTATTACAGAGAGAAAGAGAGAGAAAGAGAGAGAGACAGAGAGAGAGAGAGAGAGAGAGAGAGAGACGTATTTTTGTATCGCCGTGCGATAAACGCGCGCCGTTTCGTTTCTGCTGTAAGATCTTGTTGTATCAACATTCGATAAAATAAAGATACTGATTGAGAATCGCGCTGCTTAAATCAGCTCGTGGCACTCCCCGTGGACTTTCGCGCGGGGCGCCGTTCGACTCTGCGTGAATTACGATCCGCGACGGTTGCAAACGGATAACGCGTTACCGCTTCCGGTTTGGCTTCTTCTTTTCTCCTCGGAGGATCCAGATGCGATTTAAAGCTCGACTTAATCGTCGGGACTACGTAATTAGCGCTAAAAGGCGGCAACGACGCACGGGACGCGATAAATTTCCCGCCGACTAGATAGGTTTCGAGCTCGTGGGATTCACGGAAAGCGGGAGGGACTGCACCTGGTGTGTGCGTCTCCGCCGCCCAGCCGTGTCATCTACCAGTTCGACTTCTCCGCCACCTGTATCATATCGAAGGTAATTTATTTTCGTGGTGCTTATTAAACGCGACGGGCGCGCCGCGATGCGTAAACCTTGCGCAGGGCCGTTCGGTAAATAACAAGCGCGATCGCTCTCTCGGCAAAGTCCCTAATAAGCAAAAAAAGCCGCCGGTTAACGGAACGCTGCGAAGGGGAAAAAGCGGAATGGAAAGCGTGCTTTTCCGCGTGCCTCGTGGCGGGCCCGTACTTCCTCCCGTCTTCTCTCTCTCTCTCACGCGCGTTCTCTCTTTTTTTCTCCCCCTCGTCGACTGACCCCGGGATAAACGGAAATGAATTAAATACGGACCGAGCGGACCGTTGTATTTATATCCGCCGTTGGATCTCCATGCCGAAACGCCCTGAGGCGTGAACAGAAGGCGCAACATTACGAAGGAGATTAAAGAAGTATCTTTGCCGGTATGCACGCAACGCGGCTTCCCGAGGATTCCCTTCTCGAGGGCGGTTGTCTAGCCGGCCGGTCAGCCAGGGTCGATTGAAGCCGCGGATGTTCGCGCTCTGTGAGCGACGCGCTCCGTTAGGAAATTAGATTTGTCACGAATCGGTGATTCTTCATACTCGCTCGGCGATTTTGAGATTTCGAGATCCTAATGATGGGCCAAAATAAGAAAGACACGTCTTCCTTGGCATGGAAAGAAGAGTTTGATTGAATTTACCCGACAATGGACGACGGATCGAAGCGCGTTCTGATTGAAGGAAACAGAATCTCTGCTTATAAGAACCGAATTTGGTTCGTGAGAACTAGACATTCTGTTTCTCTGACATTTCTTCTTCGACTAAAACGTGCGCAACGTGAGGAAAATTAGGAATAATATTTTTTCGAACGGTACGGAAAGTCAATTGATGAACTTCGGAATTATGTAACTGCTACTAGCTAGTAATTAATAGTTTCCCCTTCACCAAGTGTTCCATTTGCCTGATAATGAATGATCAAATACGTTTTCTTATTCAAACAAAATGATACTTGATATTAAATTATCTCGTTTATATCCAAGTCAAACAAATACGTATACCACATCTGTGGAAACCTTCTTTTCTGTGTAACAGCTAATAATTTCCCCTTCACCAGGCGTTCCACTTCGTCTTCCTCCTCGTCGACCCGCGTCCTGAAACGCATAAATTTCGCGAATATTTAACAATAATTCATATATATAATATATATTCGTTTCACGAATAATTAACAAGCGCCGCCACGACGGATGAAAAATCCGTCTGTGATCTTCAATCACAGTTTGAGTCTTCCACGCCTCGGAAACTCAACTGATAAACATCGACGAGTCGCCGTGAATTGCTAATAGCGAAAACCGGAAGATCGTTCTTTTCTGTTTTACAGCAACGGCGGTATTCTCAAGCGCAAAATAAGCCACCCTGTAGCACGGCGGAACTATGACGAGCCGTACTCGACGGAAGTTCCCTCGAAAAGGAGCTTTGTCGCGTCGCAACGGAAATCGGCGGACGGCTCGGCGGAGCGTGAAATACCGACTTTTACCGTCGCCCTTCGATCCACTCAATGGCCGGACGAGCCGCAGTAATACACAGTAATGATATTACAGCGACGGCCGGAACGTTACCGGGAATCGGGAACAAAGCGCAACGCGAACACGGATTTCGCGCGGGATCCCGTATTCTAGCAGTTCCGTAAATCACACGTTGTTAACGCGTCGCACTTAAGCCGTTCAGTGGTAGTGCGCTCGGTAATAAGTCATTCGATACCTTCTGGTCTATGATCTTTCTACCAATTCCACCCGCAATTAGCGGCTGGTGCATCTGAAATGTTGCTTCGTCGAGAGAAAAAGAGAAATACAGAGAGAGAGAGAGAGAGAGAGAGAAAGTCGTCGCGAAGAAACAGTTAGTGATACAACACACCGTATGCGAGCTGGTAAGAACAATAATAGCAAACACGAGCAATTTTTGCAGTTCCGGACGGAGCCGAGAGACCGACGAATTAGCATTGGCTATGTTTAGCAGAGAAAGCAGCTTTGCAATTGTTGTAAAATTCATGAATCTGATTGGTGTATGCTTTTTGATTCAACCGAAATTAGAGGTGCCTTTTCATGCTGATGATCGAAGCTCGAAGCTTCAGCGTCAAAACAGGCCGCGTGATCGGAGTTGCTGCTAGACAGCGAGAAAAAATCGCGCATGAAAAAGTCAACCGTCCTTACATTAACGTCGTAATTGTGCAAGAGGATTTTTAATTATGCGCAGCCGGTAACGAGCACAGTACTAAGAAATTTGCAATGAAACATGATGACTTCAGGATCCCTTTAATGTTTTCTGAGGAATCAGTCTCTCGAGCGATGAAAGACGACTCGCGTGAACATCGTTTGTCGCCTGGTTCGCGCACCTCTCGATTCTTCAATTGTGACGTACGATGAAACGAAATTAAACGATAACACCTCTCCCCCCGTCCGAAAGCCCGAAATATCCGGACACCGCAGTGGCGCGCGCCCGTAAAGCGGCCGTGAATTTCGGCCGATTAATCATGGACGCGATTACGATCGCGTAATTTCGCTATGCGCTTTAACCGGGGCAATTATTGACATAGACGTTACATTAATCGCCGCGTTTTGGAATTAATGCATTGGTATTAATAATTGAATTTACGGGGATTTGGGAGAAGGGCGAGGGAAAGGGCAGGGGTGGCGCGACGCGCGGCGGGATTGGCGCACCGCGAATTAGCGAAGACCTGCAATTAACACGTGTTACACGCAGAGACGGATAATTATTAACGCCGAGGGTCCGCACGTGTAACGTGTTACCTCAATTAACGATGATACTGATAATAATTGGAGGAAGCGCGGGGCCGGAGGAGAGGGAGAAGATTATCGGAAACGCGCGTACGGTGACGCACGAAGTGCAAAGAAAATCCGTGTCAGAGTTTTTAATAAGAGCTGCGACAGATGTGTCTAATAGAGGTGATGATTTCTGATTGGTTAAGCTATCGCATATAGCAGATCAGCGTAATTACAAGGAGTTATTATAATTGATCTGAGCCTTGATCTTTATAAAAATTAGATGATGCAATTAAGGAAACGACTGTTTGCATTTGTGAGGTGCAAAAATGGTAACAATTTTTCGGACAGTGTAATTTTATTATTTTTATATTTATTATTATTATTATTGCGTTAATAATGCAATGTAATTAATCACAGTTGTTTTCCATATACTTTTTTTATTAAAAATGTGTTTGTTAATCATAACCATCCTTATCTTTTTGTTTAATTTTTTCCAACACATTTCCCACACAGCAGAAGTGTCTAAACATCATAGAAATATTAAACGTCGCCATATCTTTAAGATATCCTTACGATGTATTTTGGACATTTCTGCTGTGTGGGTTAATTCGACAGCTATCAGTATTATATTGAAGGAAAGCGCAATGTGAATCCAATTTAAATTTTAAGAAACTAGAATTGGTAACATTGCTGTGTCTATAAATAGCAGCGATATGTCGCAACTATAGACATACAGAATAGACTGAGCATTGCCATTGGAGAGCTGAAGCTAAGATCGAAGGGTAGAGATATGTTAACAGTGGTACTTTCTATGTCACCCAGTACTGTAGGAGGATACGATATAGAGAAAACGGAAGAGTGAGAGTGGACGTAGGAAAGAGAGAAATAATGTGTATTTGATTGATGATGTGAAAAAACACATAAATAATACACTAATTATTAGTTCATAATACTTTGCAATCATGTGTAGTTTCTCCTCTTTCCTTCTTCCCACCGTTTACATAACTACATAATTAGATAAGGAAAGCACCACTGTCTCTATTGCTCTCTCTCTCTCTCTACTAATGCCTTCAGCCCTTCAATGGGAATGCCCAGTCCGTTCTGTACATACCTTCGTACAGCTTAAATGCTCAAAAGACATTCTAGAGACGTTCCCAGGAGTATCAAACATCTCTGGGATGTCTTTTGAACATTGCTATATGAGTCTGTGGTCGCATATTTTATTATAGGAACTGGAATCCGCGTAATGACGACGGGCAAGATTCAATCGCGCGGGAGTGCATAATCTACCGATAGCTGATTAGCGTACCGCTGTGTTTTTCTTACGCTCATTTACTATGCGTCATTATTGCGCAATGCTTACGACCGGCCTTCCTTCGTAATTTTGCACGCACTCGTGTGCAATTGTGCAGTCTAGGATGCAAATTTCTTTCACAGAAAATTATATCGCGCGCGAGTAATTATACGCATGCACTGGGTGTCTCCGGCGAGCGCCCGGTGTGGTGTGCGCCTTTTATTCAACGACGCGAGTAAAAGGAGCGCGCGCGCGCGCGGCGTGTGTGATCTTTTTGCGTCACATTATTAATTCGGACAATCGGCGGGATTCGCGCACGAGAGGAGAGGAGGCTCCTTCGAGAAAAACGTTTCCTCTCCGACGGGGCCCTCGGAGGTAATTAACGACCCCGCTAATAATTAATGTGGTTTTACAAGAACCCCCCGGGAAGCATTACGTGAGATTAAGGAAATATTTCGGATTATCCACAGATTTTGACGGGGAGTTTTTATATACTATCAGCTATTACCCTACACGGGAAATGATAGTCTTAAATCAAGAATAAATATTCTCATATATTAGCAAGAATATTATAATCTTCTTGGATTTTTGGTCTTGAATTGAATTAAAGTAATATTTGCATCAATATAAATTCAATCAGATCGAAACTAAAATTTCTAAGAAAATTATGATATTCTTGATTATACATGAGAATATCTATTCTTGATTTAAGACTAATTTTTTTTCGATGTAGCTGTTATTATAAAGCACAGACTTCTGAGGGACGTCCTAAAGACGTCCGGAGGATATTTACGTTCCCAAGACGTCTCTCGGATAAAGTGTGTTGCATAGATAGTTTCAATACACCCTGTAATTTTCTGTTACACGATCACGCGTACTCCCCTTCTCATGGAACGTAAACGTGAGAATTTTTCGCGCGTGCGTCGAAATTAAATAACGAACGGTATAGTCATGCACCCTTTTTTTCCAGCCATTATCTCTCGATTGTTGTTGCAAAAATTATCAACCTGGAATTTTGATCATTTTAATCCCTCTCTCACTCTCTCTCTCTCTCTCTCTCTCTTTATGAGCATTCTCTAAGGTTAACGTTCTATTTTTAATTTCTATTTTTAATTTCTTCTAAACCACATTTAGGATTTTAATAAAAAAATTGACATTTAATGAAAAAGTGACATTAAGGATTATAGACGAATATAGAGACATTACATAAAAATTTCAGAATTATTGGCCACTTTATTTTGAATCTATCAATTTATCTACCTCTCTCCTCCCCGAGAGTGTAAAGCGATAATCGTAACTCTCGACGGGAAAATATATGCAATAAGCATCCAGCGACGCGCGTATTACGGCGCTCGGGAACAAAAGTGTCCGAGAGATACATCGATATATTGTCGATAATATGTCCCCCGTATTAATCCGCTCGCGTGCAGACGCGATTATCGGGCGATCTCGCGCCCGTCCTGTTTAATTTCTTTTCGCGAACGTGGCCGAGCGTGGTGAGCAAAATAGCGCGCGGCGTATCGCGATCGCTGTAACAGGCGGCGCGAAGGAAATTGCCGCGTCCGAGGGGCTAGCTTAATTGATAATAACGCGAGCAGCGCCGAAGCTATCGGGATAATTAATGACACGCTGGCTAACCGCCGCGCAGCCGAAGCGCCGCGCTTTCGTTAGATCGCCTCCGACGTTGCTCCGACTAATGAAGGAAGCCGAGAGGCGAAGGCGAAACTATCGTATATTCGCGCAGATTTGTCTCTCCCTTTCTCGTAAATAAATGTCTCTCTTGAACAGATCCTCTTTGTGTGCCGCTTAAATTGTTGAATTCACGATGATCCAATAAGAAAGTAATATCCCAGCAAACGTCAGTAACATTACATCAGTGTTGTAATTTTCAATTCAACAATGTAAATACAATATAATACATGCTGTACATAACAATTACATTGTTGAGTGGAAAATGATAATATTAATGTTGCATTACCGTTACTTGGTGTTTGCTGGGTTAAAGTAGTTGGGGAGAGGGATCCGTCAAACTATTTTCTTAGGAATCCTTTAAAATTTTAGCTGCATAATGTTGGAAATACTATGTACACTTCTGTAAGAGAACAATTCATCATTCGGAACTGATATGTATTCTCAGAGGTTAATGTCCTATTTTTAACTTCTATTTTTAATTTCCTCTAAGTCACATTTAGAATTTTAATGAAAAACTCTTGTGATAACATACCTTGAAAATTCCTCATATAAAGGCTTCTTTTTATTCGAAAGCGTTTGACAGTAAATATCGAACATAACTTCGTTAAATCATCGAATATTGACAAAACGCTTCGGGAATATATTTTCAAGACTTCAAATATTAAGAATCTATAAAAAAAAAAGAAAATCAATATTTTTGATTTTTCGAATAAGAATACTCTCCTAATTCGTCACTGAAAATTCGGCATTCTACGAATCGACTATCTTGATCATTGCAGTGATAGAGGTCCGTAAAGAGGAAACTAAATAGATGAAAATGACAGAGAATACTCGGTACGCGTACGGGGACTTTATTGTGTTGTAATTAACATTTATTATTTGCCGATCACATTATTTCCTGCTGGTTACGTGGTGGGGAACGAATTGTTTACTTACACGAATAAACACATAGTATAGAAACGCGGGAAAGTGGAGTCAATAAATGTATTTATTTACACTGCAAACTGAGGTATCAAAAGCGTTCGTTGTCTGTGCACACAATCGCAACCACTGCATGCTTTTACGCTGATTAATCCAACAGTTGATAGGCACGTACGAGATTCCGATATCGATATCGATTGTCATGGGTGGAAAACGATATCAGTAAATGCAGTTAAATGCTTTTTGTGCGCGTGAAGCGCGCCGGGTGCCGCGTGTGGAAAGTTTATTTTTTTAATAAATAAATAATCAATCAATTAAAAAAGTTAAAACAAGCGGATGTAGGCGGATATCGTCGTGCTCCAGGCGCAACGCAAATTCAATCAAATTTGTTCATGAAGAGTATAACTGTATTTCACGAATATTTTATTTAAACGCGTTTTTTAAATATTTACTATTTATACGACGAATTTCTGCATCGCAGCTATATGAAACGCGATATTCTCCTAAATGCAATCTCGGCGTTTTCTTCTTGTTTAGAAACAAAATAAATGGGAACTATTACCGGATTAATTTCGCGTACCTTCGATAAACGCGTCGCGTATTTGCAAGAGTAGCGCAGTTTGAAAACCTGTACCTGTATAACATTTACGCATGATATAATACTCTCTCTCTCTTTTTCTGAAACACAAAATTGTTATCAATTTGTGACGGAAAAGCACATAAATAAGCACGAGATTCGCGAAAAAAATTCGTGTAACTTTTCGACACAGTGCGCGCCCGTGCGTAAAAAATCCTCGACGAGGCGACTCGTCGATTCGAAAATATTAACGGAACTTCGTTGTCACGGAACTCCGGCTAATGGACGGCCGATGTTTCGCGTTTTGCGACTTCGGTCGTTAGGAAATGCCACCCCGTTGCAAAGGATCCATCGCAATCGGCGCTTGCTCTCGTCGAATCCGCTGGAGCGAACGAATCTTACCGTAATCTAACCGCCGCGGAAAAAGTGCTCGAGCAGTTGCAGTCGAGGTCAGCGGCGCGCGAGCGAGACCGTTTTTGCGACGCCGCCTCCGGCGCGTCTTTTCCGCGATGCGCGCCGATTCTCGCAGTTCCGCGCTCGCTCGCGGAATTCGCCGCGCACCAGTCGGCTTCCGATTGCCTTTCGCTCGCCCACCCGCTCGCTCCTTCGTTCACGCTCGCTCACGAGCAAGTTCACGATTAACGATGTAATTGCTAGCGCCCCGCCGCCGGTTACGTCGGCGTTGATGTAACAGCGCGTGCAACGCGCCTACCAAACGTCACGGACCATAACGAGCGATGACGACCGGCGGGATCGCGGAGAAATTGCGAGCGACGATGGAGCGCGTGGACGATGACGATAAGTCGTGACGGTATATATTTTCCTGTGGTTTTCCAGTGTCGGAACATTGAAACTACACTGTGAAAAACATTTCGTACCTGTGTTAAAATCGGCCCTTGTTCAAATCTTTGTGGTAAATTGTTAACATACCCGTGTGTTAATTTAACATTCTGTTTATGTCATCTCAACGTTGTGCCGATATTCAACATGTATAAGTGTTAAAATAATACATTTTATATTTCTCAGTTTAATTGATTAATATATTAAATTTTGTGTTAATTTGTTACATGATATTTGTGTTACTTTTTAACATATTCACTTTGTGTTAAATTAACACAAAAATTTGAGTGGCTAAATTTAACATAAAATTTTTCGCCGTGTATAGTTTTAAAGACTCGGAAAAACCGGTTTTTCTCATTTTTCTACAGATTTCTTCAGTTTCTATCCCGAAGGTAGGAAAATTTGTTTTAAAAAAGTTCATATGTGTTCGGTTAAAATCTGCGATTTTTTTCTTTTTTCCGTAAAGAAAATAAGAAATCGAAAATATCCGTAGAAAATTGGGGAAAAACCGGTTTTTCCCGAGTCTCAAAACTATAATTAAAACGGGAAATTGTATATCTTAGCGTCGAAACCGTACGATTTTATATACAAGTTAAACCAGTCACACTTTAGAGTCCCGTACTATAGTGGGTTTTCAGTATATCTATAAAGAATGCTTTATGAATAATTTATTCTTAATATACGGTACTCTTTGCATTGGTTCTTTTTAGTGCACGGGAGAGGAGGGCTTCATTCATGTTACAGCTTACGGCCACGATGGATTTAAATTCGCAACTGGAGCAGCAAGTTTCTGATCTAGAGATAAAGCGCGTAAATTACGAAAGAGAGGTAATCACATTTTTCAACTTATTGTATAATTGTTTTAATCGTTTAACACTCGATGCGATATCAGATAAAAAATGCGTAAACCATTTCCTTGCAGAGAGGAATATTTAAGAAATAATTGCACACGGGTACATTTAATTAAATCTCTATGTTATAAAATTACATGTAGACTCTCTCTCTCTCTCTCTCTTTATATATATTTCTGTTACGTAAGAATTCTCTTTGCTAAAAAATTCGATTTTTCTCTTCACTAAACTGATATCCTTTCGACAGCGCCAACCTTCGCGGCATCTCTTTGATGCGTAAGTGATCCGTAATGTGTATCAGTATGCAAGGAGGATGAGCAATTTATTTGGGCGATAGTAAAGATGCAGTCGCGCAGCCGCTCGAGAGAGTTAAATGACGGGGCAGGCATGCGCAACGAAAAATAACGGAAGGGCAATTTCTTCGTTCCCGAGGAGCGTGCAATGCTACTATTACTACTGCTACGTGCGTTTCGAGACCGCGTGACACTGGCATCGAGCTCTATCAGTCACTCAGTCAATGACAAGTACAGTAAAGTCCGTGCGAATGTTCGACGTGCGCGTCATTCTCACTTTTTACGGAAGCACATGACGCCGATAAGCACTTAATCCACTATTCCGCGCAACGTATATCACAACTCGACAAGAAAAATATCACAGCCGCGCCGAAAAGCCAGTTTTTGCAAAACGGTAAAACTGCACAGTTAGATTAGGTCACTAAAGTAGACATCGCAGTTAATGAACGAAAGTTCATCCGTGGTGCAAATTTTATTCGCGAGTTTTATTAAAATTATTAAACAGGGAATATAAAAACAAATCGAAATCTGCGAGACTAATTTGAAAAATGTCTTCATTGCAATACTCTTGGCGAACTTTTGGGTTCGCGATTCTTCCTCCTAAAGCGCAATATATCCGCAGTCATTGATTTGGAAATTTATTCGAAGGCGGAGGAAGCCAATAACCGGTTAAGCAATTTGCCTATTATGCGTGTCAGAATCGTGTAATATTTCGCGACTCGCTGACTTCACCGGACTTCCCGGATCGAAATGCATCCGTAATCAGGAGGAGCGCAATTGTTCGAATTCTTCTACAGCTACAAATCGGTACCGTGGCTCAACAATCAACTTTATAGTTCGACGTTGGTAAGAAGATTTATTTCAAAAGTTCCCTCCGAACTATGAAAGAAGCCCTCGTTAAAATTTCATCCCTTCGTTCGCGCAAACGGAAAATATATTGTCATTACACTGCAAATCCAAGTGTGTAATTTTACACATTTTGTTGTAGTCATTTTTTACACATTTGCAATTTACACGTGTTATTAATGTAATTTTACACACTTATGTGTGTAAAATCATAGTATGATGCATAATATAACACGCGTGGAAATGTGTAAAAAGTGACTACATGTGAAATTACACACTTGGATTTGCTGAGTGTACCGAGGTGAAAAGATATAAAGATATGAAATAACATAGGTATTATTGACAATACTCTATTCGCAGTACATTGAAGGAAGAATTTGGTCACGAGTACCACAAAATTTGATTAATTTGTGCCGTCCAAATGTTAGATTATTGCGACCAAATAGTTTATTTAATTCCGTTACAATACGTTATAACTAAACTAAATTATTTAATCAATCAAATTAAAATGAACAATAAAATGTCAAATTTTGATATTTGTCACCAAATCCTTCTTTCAATGTTCCAAAACTTCAATTAAGCAAAATGACGCACCGAATGCGACGTATTCTAAGTTTTCCGATAGACACGTGCACCTGGTGCTGCCCGAATTTATTAATAATATAGCATGGAGCAGAGGTTAGAAAGAAAAGCGTTTTTTTATTCACTTCTTATTTCTCTTGCCTCTGTAGAATAGTGCACGTTTGCCTTCCGCAGCATCAACATCAGAGCTGTAGAAAATAAAATTGCGATACGATTAAAAAAAAAAAATGATACACATGTACTGTTTCTTAAAAATATCGTACGTCCAACATGTTCTCCTCGTAAACCGAATGTGTAATTAAATTTGTTTTATTTCAATGTTACCACGAATCCTACAAGCAGCGGGCAGGAAAATTATATTTCAAACGTACGTCCTTTCTATAAAATAAATGTCACTTCTCTTGCCCCAAAAAACACGTCTCTATCGGCAGGTTAATCGCATATCCAAAGTAGGACAAAGCCTAGAACAAGTTTCAAACCGGAAAAGAATACAGAGCTCCGCTACGACATAGCCGGTGATCAAATATTACAGAGAATCCGGAAGGAGATCGTCCTTGTAAAGGCGATCGCAATCGTTGCACGCGCTCGGAGAGGATACTGCGGAGGACACGTCGCGTCCTCGGAAACTGGGACGACGTCTGGTCGTCCTCGGGTCACAGGTCCTCGGGAGCTGGTCCGAGAGGATTCGCGTCCGCGCTCGTTCGAGGCCGTCGCTGGGCGAGCGGGACGAACCGAAGAGGATGGTTGTTAGCGGAGGCAGCGAGCATGCATTAACAGTACTCCGGACGGGCCGGTGGTTCTCTGGTTCCCTGGTTTCTACGGCGTCCCCTTCTCATCGGAGAAGGCACCGATGTGCCCGGCACACACCGGGGAGAAGGAGTCCTTCGCGTGCCCCGGCTCGGTGCACGCGCCTCAGTCCGTCGGGGGCCTTCGTCAAAATTGCATCCCTTCCGCCTCTGGCGCGTCCTCCAGTTCGGGCGAGTGTCTCGAGTGTTCGGTAAACGCGTCTCGGGTTAACGAGAGGAGAGAACTACGGCGAGGAGATAGAGAGAGGGATAGAGCGAACGAACGAGAGAAAGAGAGAGAGAGAGAGAGAGAGCGCTCGGCGAGATCATGTGGAGAGTCCTGATCGCAGGATTTTGTACGGTGAGTCTTTCGTTCGAGAGGGGTTAAAGCGCGCGAGGTTAAGTCGCGCCTCGACGACGACGTCGCGAATATCCTCGCCTGATCGCGGCAGGGCGAAAGGTAAGCGAAGACCGATTTTTCGCCGGCGACGCGCCTCGGGCATGGAGCCCGAACGATTTATAATCCGTGACGAAATTCCGAGCGGAATTCTATCCGCGAGGGGAAACGTCTGAAAGATCGAATCGCAGACACGCCCCGCGTAATTTTAGAAATTCTATAAATTCTCGAATGTATTTTCTCAGGCCGGGTGCAGTGTGCAAAATTGTATGAAGAATGGTAATGTATATTCTGCTGGTGTAAAGAAACCACCGTTGCTACCGCATATTCGTCGCGACAGCGATAAAATTTCGTTGGCGTGATAAATTTGCGAGCAGAAATAGCTTTGTTGTTAGAACGGGACAATTTTGCCGAGCTAATTCGCCCTTAGGACATGTTAATTTGCTGTCAGAACAAAATAGTGTTTTCCCACATTTACTAATTTAATTTATTAATCTGTTCCTACTAGCGAAATAATTTGTTGATTCGGCAAAATATATCCAACGAATGGCCATCAGTGCTTTTAACAAAGTTTTTTGCTGCCCACGTAGTAATCGACAGATTTTGCACAAACATAGCATAAAATTTGCTGTGCCAAACAATTATTGTTCTCCGTGCAGCGAATGCATATTACCTGTAATAGCTAATATCATTGCTGCCGCAGCTACATTGAGAAAAACATACTCAACAATCTATTTGTGAGATATAAGATTTATCTTGCAGAAATAAGATTTATTTCTGTGAAATAAATTTTACATCCGACAGATAAATTTTGAAGTACTTTCTTCTCAATGAAAATTTATTAGCTGCGGTATACTGAGAAAAAAATACTGAAAAATTTATTTATCGGAGAAATGTAAAACTTATTTCGCAAAAATGAGGTTTATAAATTTAAATTTAAATATTACATATACTCCAGCAATAAATTTTTAAGTATTTACTTCTCAGTGTAGCAACGATATTAACTGTCCCTATTTTAGCAGTTACAGTTAGATTTTAGATTCCTATGGCTGATTCTCTGATCTCTCGTATCTCTCTCTCTCGTAACTGGTGTTACTGAGCTAGAAGGCGATTCGTTTAAGAGCACGTTGATCCGTGCGAACCGCCGAGCGCGCGGAGGTGAAAATTATCCGCGCGCGCGGTTCGAAGTCACAGATTTTTAACACATCTATATCGCTTTAGTTGACGTGCAGGGCGCAGCTTCAACCGACCCTGCCAGGATAAATCAGGCCGATCGTGGATGATGGACGATCACTAGAGCTCCATGTCATCCGTTCTTGGTGACTAATATTTGTCGCGTGGCGCCAGGCCTTTGTTTGATATTGTGTGCTGACAGTTTGTCACGCGGTTGTAATGGATCTGCGCGCGATGATTAGACGTTGGTTTTACCCGGCGCGTCGCTGATTTCGCCGATTTACCGCCGCGTTAACAGCTTCTTCCGTGCGCGCGAGGAAGACACATCGGGGAAGGCGAGAACCGCCTATCGATCCGCGAAGTCGAGCTCGCGAATCGTATTATAAGAAATCGTCGCGATAAATCATGTCGCTTCGGCGAAATTACGAATTTATTCCGTGTATGTGATCATCGGACCACCTTCGACGAATTTCCCGAGCGAACTTCTCCACTCTCAGCCTAGCCGAGCCGAGATTCTCAATGAAATCGCGATTTTCAATAAAATCTGACGCCGTATCGCGCGAAGTACCTCGACGAAGTAAAAAGGCATCGCCGTGTCGCAGCTCCTATCGGCCCTCGTCCTTGGATGTCACGCTTTAGTCTCGCGACATTTAATTACACCTGCTACACGGCCGGACTTATCTTCTCTATTTATTCGCGCGTCCGCTCGAGAACTGTTCGTCGTTTTTCTCACATGGCGCCCACCGCGAAATATCTGCCAATAATGACAACGTCAATTAATTTCCGGCGAAAGAGAGAGAAAGAGAGAGAGAGAGACCGCCGCGAAAGACCGCCGAGGAGATATCCCGCGGCGAGGCAGAGCCGATCGGTTCATTTTAACTGGGACGCACGACGATCTTCCTCGCGTTGCTCCTTTTGCGTAGAAAAAAAAAAGAGAGAACAAAGGAAAAAGGGAAAAGGAAGAAGTACTTACGACAGGCTCGATATATTTTTATATTACGTCCCCCGCGCGTCGGAAACCAAGCCTGTCGTCGAGGAGCTCGTTGCGAGGAGCGATTCGCTTTAATTTTCCCCGACCGCTTTTCGTCGCCTGCGAAAGACAGAGGGAAAGAGAGAGAGAGAGGGAGAGGAGAGGAGAAAGAAAGAGAGGATAAACGCGGCGGCGTGCACGCCGCGTCGACACGGCCGGGGGATAATTTAAAATGCACACCATTATTAATACGTGACGTTCGAGGCGACGAAACGCGATAACGGGCAATTTAAAGCGAGCCGCACGAGCGAGCCATTGATACGTTTGAAATATTAATGGCTTTCCCAAACGACGAAATAATTGAATTGTGTCGGACGTCTCCCCGCGACTGTACCCCGCCGACTAATTCCGCCGTGAAACGCGATATATTGCGAAATATACTTTGACATGTGCGAGCGCGAAGGGGAGGAGAGAGAGAGAGAGAGAGAGGGAAGTGACAGCAAGAATTATGTACGTACATCGCGATAGTGTCGTGATTACTTTGAATAAATAATTTACGCGTCGCTATTTTGGTTACTGCTTTCGCTTTTTCTCTGCGGTATGAGTTACACGAGAAGCATCGTGTGTAATAACGCTGCGTATGTAACGTAATAACGGGGACAGGGGAGATTTTCGACCATAAGTGAGACAATTTTTACCGCGGAATATATGTGGCAATTCTTATTAACGCGTTGTTGCGCGTCGATCGCGAAGCATCTGCACGTTGCTTTGTCACGACGGGTTCCCCACCCGTCCCTCAAAGTTTCACCGGACTTTTCGTTGAAATGCATTCAATTTAAAGTTTAAATGAGAATTAAAATTAATCCGTTTACAGATGATTGAAGTTCTAATTATGCGTCGCCGACCGCCGCGCAGCGGTTTCGACGACGCGAAGGTGGCCCGCGTTTTCTGGAGTGACGCGTTAAGGGGGTATTCTCATTTGGAACGTTTCGTTTGGTAGATGACTTTTACGACTTTTTTAACCATAAGATATGCAGTTCTGAAGTTTTGCATAAATATTTAGAAGCCGTTCGAAAATTACGTCACGCGAAATTTGGGTATTTTTTACCTTCCCTCTCTCTTTCGTCACGATTTCGTCACAAAGTATTTGCCCTTTTCCTATATAATGTGACATGTAGAATTACTTCCTCCCCCTCCGTTGGCACGTAGAATCAAAAAAATATTTTATAATTATATTATGCACGGAAAAAAAATTTGGTTGAATTTATTAAATAGTGAATGAATCAAATGCATCTTGGTTAAAGGAAAGAGATTTTCTGGTTCTTATAATCTAAATTCAGTCCAATCAGAAATTCTGTTTCCTTCAAAACGCGTTTGGTTCGTTCACTGTCTGGTAAATTCAACCAAATTTTTCTTTCTATGCGAATAATAATTATTAGACTGCACGCTCTTTTTCTAAAACACAAATAATGTTTAAACATTTAATATTAAATTAATTATTTTATCATTTTGATTAGTAAAAGTTTTTCAAGGAATAAATAATTAAAAATTTGTATTTTGATTATTAACACAAAATCATGTCCAAACTTACAAATTTTCACCAAATTTAACCAAATGTGTCACAAATGCAAGGTGGATAACAACAAACAAAGTGGATAACCACGCACATCCATATTTACCAATTAGGCCATCTGATGTGACATTTCATTGACCTTATTCCCCCCCTCCCCTTCCCTGCCATCATAAATTGTCACGCAAGCTAATAGACTTCCCTCCTTCCATTATAATGTGACGTAATTATTGAATGTTTTTGCTTTACTTTAGTTATGTTTTGACTATATATTATAATTTCTACGCATTATTATTTTTAATATTAATAAAGTTATAAATAATCTTGTTAGCGTTGACCGCGAAAGGTTAGTTGCCATAATTTCGAACGTTATAGGCTTCTCCGAAAACCAAAATAGCAAAGATATTATTAAATTATAAACTTGTGATTATTGCTTCTACCACGATGCAGTCAATATCTCTAATACTTCGATTTTAAGAACTCCCAAGGCTGGCCAAAATTCGATTTTTCTGTTTAAAGTCGTGCCATTTTGTCGAAAATCAATTCTGCATCGTAACAGGGACGACGATAGCCACAAGTTTATTAATATTGAGAATAATGTGTAAAAATGATTGTATATACAGTTAAAATATAAATTAATATTTGTACAAAATTTCAGAATTGCATGTCTTCTAGTTTTCTCGAAAAAAATTTCCGAAAGTCATCCACAAAACGATGTTTCAAATGAAAATACCTTTTTAAACGACGATCGCGATCGAGGCAATTGTTGGCGCGAAAAATGCTCCCGCTCTCGCAGAGGGACACGCCGCATTGCCGAATAATAACGGATCCGCTTGAATTCAATTGAACGCGCAATTCAGAAATACTAATTGTATTATTCGCGGATACGGTCACTCATTTCAGACTCTCGCGCGCTTTTCAGTCCGCGTTATTATATTTCGAAACTCTATTTTTCTCCGCCCCCCTCCTCCTCCCGGGGCTTTCGTTACCTCTCGCCCTGTCTCGGTAAAATTCTTCGGTAACGTCCGGCAGGTCTGGGTACACGCACGCGGCGCGTCGCACATTTTATGCCCACTAATTAAACGTCCTTTCATGTCGCCAAATTCCGAGCCATCTCCGAGAGCGGTTTATTCGGCGGAATAGGACGCGGAGTGCGCATTTGTCGCACGCCGAAGGATTTAACTGTACCGAATTGTGCCGGACGGTGGGCGACTCGAGCCGCCGATGCCGCGGATGAGCGAGTCACACCGC